TGAATGGAGAGTGACCCCACAGTGCTTGAGGGCAGCCAGGAATCAGCAAGGACACAGGCCTGGGTAAGGGGAGCCAGGAGCCATTAAATAACTTCCCTCTGGCCTCACCCACAGAGCCCAGGTGGGCCTGGATGAGGCCCACCCCTCCTTCCAGGCAGGTTTGAGGAGATCAGCTGTTTGGAGGGGAATAAACCTTCCCCCCCAAACCCTGTCCTGTGGGGTGTCTGTGTGGGAAGGAACCCCTGTCTCTGTAGGGGCACAGCCCTGGGGCCACCCTCTGCACTTCTGTTCCCTGCCTTGATTTACACCACCACGAGAGAGGGGAGCCTGCCCTTGCCCCCCATCCCACCCTTAATAAATATTCCAGTGTGCTATTCCCGTAGCTTGAGTACAACATCCTCCCTCGGAAAAACAGCAGCGAGTCCTGAATTAATTTAGATTTCCCGCTGCCTGGTTAGACCAGCTGGATGTGGCACGCTTCATCTTCCCTGCAAACAGTGCCAGCGTCCCCCGGGGACACTCAGCACTTTATAAACCTGTCAAGCCCTTAAAGCCGGTGACCATGAGGCTTCACAACAGAACGTGTGGAGCTTTATGGCCACACACACACCCCAGCCAGCCCCGGAGAGGAGCTCCAGCACGGCTGCCTCGGCGAGTGAGGGGATGTTGTTTTGTGCTGTGCTTTCATTTCAAGGCAAGCAAAAAAAAAAAAAAAAGGAGGAAAAAAAAAAAGAGAAAGAAAAGCACTGCATGATTTATTTTAAAGCCTCCAAGCTGCTGCAATGCTGTTGAGTGGGTATGTATATACATGGGGAACGGGAGATTGTCTCCAAAGTCATTTGCATTCGTTCCCTTCCCTCCCTCCTCCACGCAGTGTTTTTAAAAGGTCTTATCCTGGAGATGCTGGAATACCTGCAGCCTGCAGAAATCAAAGTTTTGGGTGCAGAGCACCTGATGGAGCTGGTTTTTATTTAGAAAACATACTGTCCTGCCAGTCCCACCCTGCGCAGTGCTGATTTATTCCTCTCCTCTCCTGACAAGCCCCACACGATATTTTTTTGACGCCGACAACATCATTCAGCGTCTCTGCGACCTGCTCGGGCCGAGACCCTCGGCAGCTCCAGGCAACGCCTGGCGATCCCCTGGGCTGCTCCTGCTGTTCAGATTCCCGTCCCGGAGCACGGAGCCACAGGGGTTGGGGCTCCGAGCCGCGGGTCTGTCCCCTGAGCCGCGCTCAGCTGCCCCACGCTGGCTCATTCCCAGCTGGAGGCGCTCCCGGCTCCGCTCTCCCCACCCGGCCCTTTGCTCGGCTTAACAAGTCGGCATCTGATGGAGTCGCTGCCGTTTGGGTCCCTGAGGGATTATAATGTGACTGCAGCAGGTCCCAGCCATTCTCTGCAGCCCGGCATGTTGTTGCTTCATTAAACGCCAAATTGTTACATTAATTCTAACTGCCCTGTAGAGATGTAGCTGTCAGGAGTGATTTACTTGCCTCCAGCTGACTCGGAGACTTTCCTCTCTGGAAGAGGCCAGTGCCTGGGTGGGAGTGGGATGCAGGACATTTGTCCAGCCAGATATTGGCAGCAAGAGGCTCTGCCCTCCCTGCAGAGACAGGGATGGTCTTCAGACCTCCGTGGAAAAATCACCAGAGAGCTAAAAAAAGGTGTGGGGTTTGTTTTTGGCTGAACTCTGGGCTGCTGGTGGCTCAAGATGCCTGTTAACAGGCAGCATCTTTGCTGGAGTATTTACTGAGTCCAAATCTCTTGGAATCCCTCCTTCATCCCAGCCAGCAGCTCTGCCTGTGCTGCAGGAGGAGGGTCTCTGGCCTTTCCTGCTTTGTTCCCAAGGTGGTGTGGGCAGAGGGAGGTGAGGTCAGACACGAGGGGTGGTGGGAATACCTTTGCTTGGATGCTCTGATGCATCTGGGATAAGCCACTGGAGGGGAACTTGAGGATGAACTGGCCCCATCCACCTTCCCTGCTCCCCACGGATGAGGGATTTCACCTGGCCCACATTCTACTGTTTGACACAAAATCTAATAATTTCTGTAGGGAACACAGGTTTGAGCACAAAGGTGAATTTGCTGTTTGGAAAAAAAAAAAAAAAAAGAAAAAATATTAATATAGTAGATTTTCCTCACTGAGAACACAAAAAATTTCCTGCCTCCTGTGTCTTACACTCACGGAAATCAGCAGAGGTTGTAAAGCTCACCTGCAAACTGAGCAGTGCAAAACCCCCCTTCCTAATTCTGTTTGGGTTTTACAAGCTGTCAGTCACTTGGACAGCGTTAGTTTTATTTGCTTCTTTCAAATTGGTTTCCTTTTTAACGGGAAGAAAGCATTTATATTAATGGAATCCTTGAGCCTCAGCCCTGAAAGGAGAGGCTGAAATGCAATCCCTGAATTTGAGATCAAGACGCTCGGGAAGCTCCTCTCTCTGTGTTCAGACGAGAGAACAAACACCGGCAACTTCCAGCCCGTTCTGCCTCTGAGAGCAAAGCACAAAGGCAGAGGGGCAGATTTGCATTTCTCCCTTTCTTAAATTCAGCCATCCCCTGGGAATTCCCCGGGGGAGAGGAACAGCAGTGTCCGTTATTTGCAGGGAGGGAAACGATGAGAAAAATATCTGTAAACTGCTTGTTCAAGTACTACAGTTCTTAGACTGGTTTTATAACAGCATTATCCCAAAATTTCTGTCCTTCTGTTCCTATTTCCTTGTTTTTAGGAAATAAACATGTCTCAAAGTCTTTTCTTAGTCTTCTATAGGAAAATATTATTAATATCGAACCACCGAAGTGTTTTGATGCAAAACACTTGCCCAGTTTTGGTGAGGGTGTTTCTAGACATGGAAATCTTGAAAACACAAACTCCTGTTTTCTCTTCAGGTGAAGTTCTGCAATCTGATTTTTTAAATCCCACAGTTTTCTATTTACTCCACAAATTTCCATGAGAAATGTCCTTGTGATGTACCTACAGGCTGGCAGCAACAGTTGTCTCTTTATTACTCAGTCCTGGAGAAGGAAGGAAAAGCTGCTGAGCCCAGCTCTGGGCTCAGACTCACCTAAACAAGGCAAATTTCTGCCTTGGCTGGAGGACACACAGCTTCACCCATCTCCAAAATCCCCCAGAGCAGAGATAGGAGCAGATTTCCACGTGTCACCCCCAGATCCCAGCTGGTGGGGTGTTTTTTACACCCCTGGTGTCACACAGTGGGGTTTTCCCTTCTGGAGACATCAGTGTCCCACCCCTGCTGAGCAAAGGCCCGGGAAGGAGGGGCTGGTGGCTGTGGGTTGTGCTCAGCACAGCCCCCCCAGCTGCCAAACAGCAAGACACTGGGTACACGACCCTCCCCTCACCTTTGGAAAAGGTGAGGAATCAAATCCGGGATGTTCCAGGGGTCTGCACAAGCCCTGGGTACCAGAGCATGGCCCTGGTGTTCCTCACTGCCCAGGGGTGCTGCTCTTCTGCTGTGCACACAAAAAACCCCGGGCAAACATTCCCTGACTTCCCAGGGAGCGAGAACATCAAAGCTTTACAAAGGGTCTGTCCTCAAATCCTTGAGCCAGAGGCCTCAGCACTTCCCTCTGCTCCCAGGAACATGACCATGGATGTTTGTATGTGAGGAGATGTGCATATCTGATATATGTGTGTGTTTGTATATATAGGTATATAAACCAAACAAATATATGTACATGCTCTGTCAAACTTAACCCCTTCAGGATTTTTTTCCTTTTCTTTCAGATTTCTCTTTGAAATATTCCAATATCTGACTCCGTGTTTCATGTTCCCGACCTTCTGCTCACAGACAGACAACATCAGACTGCATTTGCTATTGCTTTATCAGCCCAGAGTTCTGCTTCCACCTGTGGGATAAATGCTAAAAAATAACCAGGACCCATCAAAAACAGCCAGACCATGATCAAAGTCTGTGTGTGCCCAGAGCAGTCCCATTTGGATCACTCAAGGATTGCCAGCCTCCAAAAACTGTCATTTTTTTTCTTCCAAAGCATTTCCACCTCGGTGGGTTTGCTCCTCTGTTGAGAGGAATATTTCAACATTAAAATATTGGAGATATTGAAAGCATATTTCAACACTTTTTTGGATCATGGCATCGAGGTTTAAGAGCTTTTACTCTTAGATTAACGTGTTTTATTTACTTATGCTGATGCTTTCGATGTGAATTTAGCAAAAGACTGTTTAAAGTTTAGCTGACAAATTTATTTGTAACCTTGAAGTATTTGATCATCAGAGAGAAAGCGAGAATATAAATAAAAGACACTGGACATTCACATAATCTACAGTTAATTCCATATTTTTTACAGGTAACAATATACATATTGTCTTGCCTTTCCTCACAATCAGCTCGCACCATATCCATGGAAATACACAAGTGCCTGGAAGAGAGATGTGTTCCCAGGAAAGCCTGTGCTCGCTCCGACTCTCCCAGTGGTGCCTCGGGAATGGCAGGAGCTAAACCAGCCAAACCCTCCTGCTGAGAGACCCCCCGAGAAGGTATTTGGCAACAAGACATCAGGGTGATTTTTTGAGACATTTTGCAGTTAAACTGTTGCAAGGAAATGTGAAGGAAAAGCATAAGACCCACAACCCAGAGCCATTAGTGTTCCTGGGTCAAGAAAAATTCACCTCTTGACCCCGTGATAAACGTGGAATTAGTTGGTAATAAATACATCTATTCACGGTTTAATGCTTATATGGAAGAGTCAAACTAGCACTCTACAAATTAAAAAGAGGAGAAGCAGAATTAACATATGATTTCCATTTTACAAAGGAAAACGTCGGTAAGTGATTGGCATGTTAAAGAGCATTTCATTTTAGAAAAGTGGATGTAAATCCAAAATAAAACAAAACATACCACCATCGGTGCGCTTTTAAAAAAATCTGCTGGAAGAACAGAGAAGTTTCCTACCATGGATTTCTGAAGTGATTCACTATGAACAGTTCTCCTATAGAAATATAGACACTGTCACACCTTTCACCGTGGATGAGGACTTTTATTTTCCCTTAAAAATGTCTCAGTGTGGGTGGGCGATGAAGCAAGTCCTTGCTTTGGAGAATGCACTGACAACAGAAAGCAAAATACCTCATATCAAATCTGTAAAGCACAAGTCTTGGTGTTCAGTAAAGACACGAGAAGCAGTTTGTTTGGACACTCAGGATGCCACTTGCTGTGGTGCCACTGCCTTTGCCCACCAGGCCGGGTCCCCTCCAAAGCCACGTCCGTGTCCTCACACGTTCCTGCCCCGCTCGGCAGCCACGGCTCATCCCTCCGGCATTCCAAGAGTTCAACAGCACCGGGTCCTTCCCCTTCCCACTGCACCGTGGTGGATCCTGTATCAAAACTGAGCGTGGTCGACTTCATCCAGCCAGGAGGCTGGGCTGGCAGGGAAATCCGGGTACCCCCCGCTGCTGCCCGTGGAGAGGTCGGAGCTGGGGCCGTTCCCGGCCAGGACTCTCATGGGCTGGGGCACCCCTTGTCCGCTTTGTCCCATGATGCCCAAGCCGTTGTCTGGGTAAACCAAGCTGGAGATTAAAGGCTGGTGGCCTGGCAGTGCTTGCAAGGAGGCTGGAGACTGGGGGATCCCGTAGGGGCTGTTGGAGCGCAGGTCGTGGTACTGGTCCTGGGCTGGGAGCCCGCTGGGATCCAGGGCAAAGCTCCCGTTGGTCCCGGCCTGTCTCCCCAGCGCGGGGGATGCCTCGTTGAGATTGCTGTAAATCCCATTGGAATGGCTCATTTCTGACATGGAGGGCTCATCTGAAAGGGAAATGGACTGGTTTTACTGGGGCAGCAATGGGCATGCCTGCAATGGACTGGTTTTACTGGGAGAGGAACAGTCACGGTTGGAATGGACTGGTTTTACTGGTCATGGCTGGAATGGACTGGTTTTACTGGGAGAGCAGTGGTCAGGGGTGGCAGTGGCTGCACAGGAACCCCTGCGAGCTCTGGGTATAAATAGATGAGATGGATGGGAGCTGAGCAGCCACGCTCTTCCCACTTGTAATTCCTTATTATTCCCACCCTTGCTGATGGATCTTCATAGAAGGTCACGGGATTATTATTTTTTTTTCTGAGTAGAAACATCTAATACAATTTGGATTTTAAAATATGCATGAAAAGTACATATTAAAATATAAGACTGTGATTTATAAAATAATCCTTTAAAGGAAAAGTGAGTTCAATACCTTTCCACCTTTTGTTTCTATTTGGCTTTGAGGTTTATCCTAATTTTGGTATAATTTTTAGGAGCCACCTGAACATTCACCAATGCAAGGAAAAACTCTCCGTTTCTCAGGGAAAAAAAAGATATTAAATAGAGATATTTGTCTGCTCAGGAACAAGCAACTGAAAACACAGTTCCAGAGTGTATTTGTTCGACTTAAAAACACCCTGAGAAATGAGCAACATTTTTTAAATACCCGGTAAAAATTATTTGTATTTGTTAGGAGTTTATGGACAGTGAGAGCTGCTCTGTTGCCTGGGATACAAACCTGTTTGTGGTATGGGGCTCTCAATAATTGTTCACATTTTTTAGTTATTATTTATAGAATATTCATATTTAATGAGCTGATGCACAGTGTGTGTGTATAAACAGACTCGAAAATCGAATAGTTTTCAGAAACAGAGAGGAGCTGAGATGCAAAGCTGTGTGTGCATAAACATACACATTAGAGATGTGTCTATAAATATGTACAAAGGTTTGCCTTTCAGTTTCTCTCGTTATCCCTAAAAACCACACACACACGTTTGGGATGGAGCTCTGCCTGGAGCTGGAACGTTCCCTCGGCAGCGCCTCAGGCACCGACCTCCCCACCCAACCCCATCCTGCTCCTGAGGCTCTGGAGAGTGTGGGATGAGGCTGTGCAGGACAAGAGCTGCTGGGGGAATGTCTCTGAATTTGTCAACAGAAACCTCGGCTCCAAAACCGGGACTCTCTGATGCAGAAACCTCCTAACCCGCAGCAGTCTCCCTTTCGCAGCACAGCTGCCTCAGCTCCCGCAGGACTGAGGAGACCTAACGAGTAACTACACAAATAAAACCACCCCTAAAAAATA